TTTCTCATTGGCTGAGCTGTGGCATTTCTCATTGGCTGAGCTGCAGCTTTTCTCATTGGCTGAGCTGTGGCTTTTCTCATTGGCTGAGCTGCGGCATTTCTCATTGGCTGAACTGTGGTGTTTCTCATTGGCTGAGCTGCAGTGTTTCTCATTGGCTGGGCTGTTGCTGGGTGGGGAGAGAAATCTTCCTTCAGCAATAAAGTAGTCTTACTTCCCGTGAAGATGCAGGAGTCTGTCTCTTCCTGTTTGGTGTAATTGACGATGTGTGATAGGGCATTAGAGCTCCCCCTACAGGCCTTCCTGACTCCCACGTAGTTAAGGTTTCTTTCATTAGTTTCCACACTGCTTCTCATTTTCTCCACAAATATTGATGGAGTGGCTACTTTGTGAACCAGGAACAGTTGGTTCCAGGTGCTAGGGATACTGCAATGGGCAAAACAGAGAAAAAACTCCTGCCTCATGGAGCTCCTGTTCTAGTTGAGGACAACAGACAATAAAGAGATAGACAAATACATTATGTACTATAATGGCTATGGAAGTGATATGAATAAAATGAGAACAGGGCACGAGGAAAGAGAAGGAATGTTGGGGAAAGGGGGTCTATTTATATTGGATGGTCAAGGAGGATGTTAGGGAGCAGTATGCCACCCCCCACCCCAAAGATGTCCACATCCTAATCCCTGGAACCTGTGAATATGCGACCTTATGTGGCAAAGGGACTTTGCAGCTGTGATTAAATTAACGATCTTGAGATGGAGAGATTATCCTGGATTATCTAGGTGGGACCATTATAATCCCAAGGGTCCTTATGAGAAGGAGGCAGGGAGTCAGAATGAGAGAGAGAGACTGGAAGATGCTACACTGCTGGTTTTGAAGATGAAGGACGGGCACATGAGCCTAGGAATGCAGGTCGCCTCAAGGAGCTGGAAAGGGCACAGGAATGGACTGTCCCCTAGAGGCTCTAGAAGGAGCTCAGCCCTGCCTGCCAATGCCTTGATTGTAACCCAGGGAGACAACATTTTGGACTTCTGGCCTCCAGAACTATAGGAGGGTAAATTTGTGTTGTTTCAGGCCACTAAGTTTGTGATAATTTGTCAGAGCAGCAATAGGAAAACTAACATGAAGGACCTCTCAGAGGAGGTGGCATTTGAGCTGAGACCTACAGGATGAAAAGTGACGAGCCTCGTAAATACCTTGGGGGCCTGGTGTTCCAGAGAGAAGGAGAAGTGCGAAGGCTCTGAGATGGGGCAGGCTGGGTGTTTCGCAGGAACGGAAAGATCACTGTGCCCGGAAGCGTGAGTCTTTGTTTTCCTTAAGAGGTTGGGGAGCCACTGGAGGTTTTTAAGCCAGATGGTGACGTGAGCTGTTCTTGAGCATATTTTCCAAAACGTTGTTAGATAATCTACTTTTGGCAACAAGAGAAAATTCACACTCTTAAATAGTAATTAAAGTTTTAACCTCACATGCCAAGAAATGTAAGAGCAGTTCCAAGCACAGGATCTCAGGGCTCCAGTTCCATTTCTCTCCGCCACTCTTGATTCTCCCTCCTCTCTCCCATCGTCTTCAAGATCAATAACTGTACCCAGTCTCTTTTTAAGAAGGATGACACTTTTCTAGAAACTGCCCCTGGAGAATTTCCTTCGTTCTTTTTTTTTTTTTTTTAAAGATTTTATTTATTTATTTTTTCCCCCCAAAGCCCCAGTAGATAGTTGTGTGTCACAGCTGCACATCCTTCTAGTTGCTGTATGTGGGACGCGGCCTCAGCATGGCCGGAGAAGCGGTGCGTCGGTGCGCGCCCGGGATCCGAACCCGGGTCGCCAGCAGCGGAGCGCGCGCACTTAACCACCAAGCCACGGGGCCGGCCCTCCTTCGTTCTTATTGGCCAGAATTGGGTCACCTGTCCTTTCCTAAACCAATCACAGGTCAGGGAAAGTGAGATTGACATGGTTGATTTGCACCAATCAGGATTCATTTTCTGAGATTGACACCAGAACTTCCCCTGAATCCTGTAGATGTGAGGAGAGGCTGCTCCTTGAATGAAATGAGAATTCTCTTACCAAAGAAGGGGAGAAAGATGGATGTTGGGTAAACAATCAACGGTGTCTTCTGTAGGCGTCCTTTCAGCAATATAAATTAACTTTCCATTGAAGGATAAGGTACATACTTAAGTGTGCACCTAAGTGCCCTAAACTCAATGAATTTTCACAAAACGGAACACACCCTGTAACCAGCACCCAGTTGGAGCAACAGAACATGACCAGCTCCCGGGAAGACCAGCTAGGGCCCCCCTAAGAGTCACTACCCCCAAGTGTAGCGACCTTCCTAATATCTATCACCATCAGTTTTGCCCGTTTATGGACTTTCTATAAAGAAATATAAATGTATTTACCTAGACAGATTTATAGAAATATAATAAAGTTATATAAATAAACTCACACAGTGCATTATCTTGCATTTGGTTTGTTTTGCTCAGTATTATATTTGTACGGTTCTTCCAGATTTTTGTTTATAGTTTTGAACATTTCATTCATATGTGTCAATGTATTCCAATTTATTGACCCATTTTTACTATGAATGGGCATTCGGGTAGTTTCTAGTTTCTTCAACAGTTTTAAAGGTCGTGTGCTGATGTAACATTTGCTAAAATTACGATGAAAAGAGTTTAAGAGAAGCAATGTGCTTGATTCTCCACCCGCCCCATCCTCATGTTTCTTCCTCCTGATGGCAGAGCCCGGATGCATCTAGAGTCAGGTTTAGGCACGAGGGTGAGCAGGAGATGAGAAGGGAGCTATGTGGGTCAGAAGGCAGAGGTTGATGTATTGTGAACCTGCCTGACTTAGCTCAGGGAGAGCTGAGCAAAATTGAGATGCACTAGTCATCATTCTCCCCACTGCATCACCACCCAAGCCCAGTTATTGCTGAGGGTGTCACGTGACCGAGATAAGGATCTTCACCTTACTTCTGGGTGGCCAGGCGATGCAGATCTAAGCAATAAGATCTAAGCTGAGACCTAATGGCTGGGTTTTCCTTGCAAGTCCTTGTGTTTTTGATAAAAGGGAAGGCATTAATGTGGGTACCCGGAGGTGGCCCAGCCACTTTGCACCATGAGGATAAAAGCCCAGGACAAAAATGGGCCCACAAGAAGCAAGAAGAAAGCCGCACTCTGGTGACTTGCTGAAACACCTGCTCCAGGCATGGACTCCCAGTATCCGGGCTTGAAAGAGAGAGAACAAAACCGAGGGGTCTGGGCTACTGTAGTTGGTTTTTGGTATGCTGATACAGAGGAGATGATGGGAAAACGAGGTTTCAAGGAACTAAACGCTGAGCTAAGACATCGTGCAGATTTTCCTGGGCAGGTTGGACTTTCTTTTCCTGGATGAAGATGTGTCTTTCACAATATGGATGCTTGCCTCAGAACAGGAGGGGACAGATGTTTGTAAATAGTTCCTATTAAGGGTGGAGAGGATCAGTTTATTTCCTGCATGGTGATGTAAGTGGTGAGGAGAATAGGGCTGTGGTGGTGCAAGAAATAAGCTTCTTGCCCTACTAGATATTAAGACATACTACAAAACAAAATTACGTAGTAGTTTTAAACGTGTGGTATTAGTGCAAGAATAGACAAATGAACCAGCAACACAGAAGAGAGAGCTCAGAAAGAGATGCATGGGAACTCAATATAACATTACATAATATATATAAAGTATGATAAAATAGCAAAGCAAATTTTTTTGTTGTTGTTGGGAAGATTAGCTCTGAGCTAACATCCATGCTAATCCTCCTCTTTTTGCTGAGGAAGACCGGCTCTGAGCTAACATCTATTCCCAATCCTCCTTCCCCCCCACCCCAAAGCCCCAGTAGATAGTTGTACGTCATAGCTGCACATCCTTCTAGTTGCTGTGTGTGGGACGCGGCCTCAGCATGGCCGGAGAAGTGG